TCTACTCCTCCGGGGGGGGGGAGGCCTACCTACCTACTGGCTGGTGCTGCTCCCTGCCGTTCCACCGGTGCGCTCAGCTGCTGCCCAGTCTCCTTCTCCCCCGGGGCCTCTCGCCCTTCCTTGGGCCATGTGCATGACCGCCCCCCGGGCGGGCGGGCCGGCCATCCCCTTCTTACCCACCTGTACCCACAGTGCATAGGCACCAGTTGCCGTCTCTCGTTTCGGTCTTGTGCTGGTCTCTTCACACTTCTGAGTGTCACATTGATGGATTTAGGTTTCAGAGTGGTAGCTGTGTTAGTCTGTATCAGCAAAAAGAACGAGTAGTTCTTGTTGCACCTTGGAGACTAACAAATTTATTTGGGCATAAGCTTTCGTGGGCTCAAACCCACTTCATCAGATTCATGCAGTGGAAAATACAGTAGGAAGATATATATATACAGAGAACATGAAAAAATGGGGGTTGCATACCAACTCTAACAAGACTAATCAATTAAGATGGGCTATTATCAGCAGGAGAAAAAAACTTTTGTCGTGATCATCAAGATGGCCCATTTCAAACAGTTGACAAGAAGGAGTAACAGTAGGGGGAAAATTAGCATGGGAAAATAGTTTTTAGTTTGTGTAATGACCCATCCACTCCCAGTCTTTATTCAAGCCTAATTTAATGGTGTCCTGTTTGCAAATTAATTCCAATTCTGCAGTTTCTTGTTGGAGTCTGTTTTTGACGTCAGCGACCACACAACAAAAACACTAACCCAGGAATCTATCCTTGCAACAAAGCCCGTTGCCAGCTCTGTCCACATATCTATTCAAGGGACACCATCATAGGATATAATCACATCAGCCACAGCATTAGGGGCATTCACCTGCACATCTACCAATTTGCTATATGCCAGCATGTGCCAGCAATGCCCCTCTGCCATGTACATTGGCCAAACCGGACAGTCTCTACGCAAAAAAATAAATGGACACAAATCAGACGTCAAGAGTTATAACATTCAAAAACCAGTTGGAGAACACTTCAACCTCCCTGGACACTCAATTACAGACCTAAAAGTCGCAATTCTTCAACAACAACAACAAAAACCTTCAAAAACATAAAATTCACTGCAAACTGTTGGCTGATGTTGTCACCATCTCAGATTGTGCTTTTGGCATTATCATACAGATCCTTGATTTGTCTAATTATTTTTGCTGGTGTTCCTTAATATGCCCTAATTCTTCAAAGACTGTCTCTGTGTATGCTGTCAAAAGCCATCTGCAAGTCCGTAAGAATTACCATAAGAGGTGCTTGCCACTCCACACTTTGTTTTATAATGTGTCTGAGAACAATATGATCTGCACATGATTCCATGGTTTAAATCCTAAATGGTCAAAGTTCATTTCACTCTGGGCCTTCTTAAACCCACACAGGGGGCCCCAGGTATCAGCCAGGTATGTTCTCCATTGAGGCCTGATCCCTATACACAACTCCTTCCTCTTGTTAATTACATTTTCCTCATGGTGAACACCTCCCCCAATGGGGTTGCCCCATCTTGGCCCTTCTCACAAGCCCATATTTCCTTCTGTCTTCCCCTTCTTTTCTGGGGAAGATTATTTTGGCCCCACAGGGTTCGGTTAGACCCATTATTGCCTCCCAGACACCCTCATTTCAGGGAACTGCTGAACTGAGTGAGTTTGTAGTGGTAGAGCTGATTCTTTCCTGGATTAGTTTGGATGGAACACTGATTAGAGAGAGGAAAAAATCCTTCATCACAAGAATGATAAACTTAAATGGCTTTAAAACTTCAATAATCCCAAAGGAGCTGAGGTTCCCTGGAACTTGGGATTTCTAGTGCTTAGATACCACAGTGATAGACGCTATAGACAAACCAAAAATAGATACATTGTCCCCATTTTATTAAGGTCATGTTGCTTGCCACTCCATACTTTGTTTGATTCCTGCTGTGTTCAGGGAAACAGGACTTTGTAAATAAATAGGATTGCATCAAACATACATCTGACTCCATCACCAGTTCCTAACTTGGATAACTGCTCAGGTCATAAGGTGTAACAACTGGTCTTGTTTCCCAGTTCATGTTCTGACTGTGCCCTTGGCTTGGCCACAGAGTTCCTATGTGATGCTAGGCAGTTACATAAACCAGTGTTACCACTTTGTGTTTTTGTTGCTATATTAGGCTCTAGAGATACTGTCAATATAAATGTATATAACACATTTCACACATACTCACATGCTATATTTTGGACAAAGAAGTACCCTTCCTGTGGGTTGCTGGGTTTTCTTAGGTTGGTTATATTTTTAAATATATACAACTAATATAGGAATGCATCTTAACTCTGAGCCAATCCAGTGTTCTGTTTGTGTGCAGATTAAATCTACCAATAAGAACTCTTGACACACATACAAGCCCTTCACTCTACCAGTTCATTTCAACCAATAGAATTGCAGTATACAAATGAAGTGGAGAAGAAGTACCTCTGATGTTAAATGCCACCACTTTGAATTACTTGAGTTATTGACAGATGCTTGACTGTAACCATACAGTTTGGTACAATTCATAATAATTATAACCTAGTTTCCTCACATAACAATTCATAATAATTAAAAACACACAAATGTACAAGGAAATTTAAATTTGTGTAAAATTTGCAGCTGTAGAAACACTCTGGCTTTGAGTTAGAGAGATTCAAGCATACATCAGACAGTCCTCAAATTTCAAAAAGGAGTCATTTAACTCATTAGAAATCCTAACAGTTCAAAGGTTGCAGAGTAGCAGCCGTGTTAGTCTTTATCCGCAAAAAGAACAGGAGTACTTGTGGCACCTTAGAGACTAACAAATTTATTTGAGCATAAACTTTCGTGGGCATACAGTATATGCATCCGAAGAAGTGGGCTGTAGCCCATGAAAGCTTATGCTCTAATAAATTTGTTAGTCTCTAAGGTGCCACAAGTACTCCTGTTCTTTTAACAGTTCAAAGTATTTACTTGTAACTTTCCCAGAAATACCATCTCACCCCTACATGCGTATATGTTAATTTTATCAGGCCCAGTTTCTATATCTCTCCATAACAGAAAGACTAATACCCTATTTCAACCAAAAAGCTAAATTCTGCCTCAAATATGGAGCCATGATTATGGATCCATAATATATTAAATAATAATGATCTCTCCAAATAATGGGAATATTCCATTTCAATAAGACACACTTACTTATATAAATCCACGAATTCTATAATTAAGTGTAAATAAATACAATTCTGGTGAATCATGAGGCAGGTTTTTTGCCCCACTCCATATAGCCCAAAAGGAATGGAGTTCCCAGCTATGCCAGCAGCAGTCATACAATGTGTGCTCTATTAATAATAATAGCATCCTCTTGATACAGTGGCAACCAATTAAATGTTGCCTATGGCTGATAAGATAGTAAAAGGTTTTGTTATATATAAACATTTCCAGCTCATCAGAGTTAATTATTGTATGGCTCATTCCTGAATCTAATGGCAGTTCCCAGCTCCAAACATTTCAGCTGTAATGTCTAATGGCTGATTGCTTTTGCCCTGTGCTTCGGGTGTCATACTGTATTTGGGGCTTTAGCTGGCTTCTAATCCCTGTGTCCTTTTGGGTGATATGTTGTGCTAATCCTTTGATTACTCACATCTGGATCCTGCACCTTTCTTAATTTCTGATGTCCAATATCTGATACTTCACTCATAATTATCTTCTGTAGTATCTGACTCTTGTTTACTGAATCTACTGCCAGTACCTGGTGTTCAGCCTGAATCCTGGTGGTGGTATCTCACTTCTGGTGGTGAAAGTAAGGAAGGAGAACTTTCTGTCCCAGGAC